CCACGCGCCCTTTTTAACAAACATAATTTACTAAGTTTATCCCTGTAAAATTTTTAAAACATCTTGGTTTCTTAGTTTTTAATTCTCAACATCGGCTTATGTTTGATGGATCCTGTCATATTCGAACAGAGCATTATGGAAACTCTTCATCTTTAAAATTTTTATATCCTCTTTCGTGCTGTTTGGCAAACTGATTTAGATGGAATCAATTTATAAAATAATCCGGTTTCATCCATATTAAAGAAATTTTCCTCACCATAGATGCGGATTTTTTCGTCAATTTGGCTAAGAAATTCATCGTGGTTTTTTTAATTCCTCACAGTATGTTTCTCCATGTAGAGGTTTGAGAGACAGTTTGATTCTTTTTAAAAATCTGGAGCCAACCATTTTGAGGCTTTAAAATCTTCTATTCCATTATCTTGTGCAATCTTCTTTGATTGTGTGATTATTGTAAAATCATCAATAAAAACCCCTTTTGAGTTTATTCACGAAATATAACTTGATAAAGCGTCATCAATAATTTTATATTTTACGGGCCTGTTCGATTTATTTTTTTGGCAATGTATGACTCTCACTTTTGATTTTACTCTTAGAATTTATATAATTTTGGACAGATCTTCCGTCAATCTTAACTTTTAACTTTTTTTAAAAAACAGGGCGATTTTAGACGCCTTTTCCCCGGATGTTTGTTTTTATAGTCCACTATCTCTGCTTTTTGTTCAATTGTCAGTATAGTTGGTTTTTTTGATCATAAGTTGAGGATTTTTAAGAATGGCATGATTTTTTTTCCAAAACATTTTGCGTAAGTTTGACAAATAGTAAGTCTGACAGGTTTTTTTTAGTAAATCCAACAAGGCCCTCAAAAATTCAAATAAGTTTGACAGAACGTAACTTTGAGGGTGCGTTCAAGTTTTGACAGGTTTCACAGTATTCTCCCAACTTGTACGAATTTTTATCCAACAATTTATTCAACACACATTCTTTCCATAGAACTTTTACTTTAATTACTATTTCAAATAAACTAGGAAAGAACGTTGAACTAAATTTAAACTTCTACGTAACACAAAAAGCAAAAACGGTTGTTACACAAATTTCCAACAATAATTTCAATACAAAACACCAATCAACACAATTTGTATCACTTTTTTTGTCACTAATAAAAGAAAAATCTATTTTTTGTTATTGTTTTTATTTGTCGAATTTGTTATTTCTCTTGTTTATTGTTTTTTGACACATTTTTGTTGAAATTAAAAATAGCAAGATTGAATTGTGGCCATCCGATACTCTACATACAGTGGAAAAGAAGTAAATAGGCCAAATTTTCTGATTACGCCTGCGTGGTACTAAAGTGAATTAAAAACCATGATTATTTAATGGGGACGAATGACCAAAAGAAGTCCGATTTTTTTTTTGTCGATAACTCCAAAACGGTAAGGTTTCTTCATAATTTAATTGTTAATTCGAGTTTTCGTCATTTGAATTATGACGATTTTGGAAAAATTTTAAGGGATATTAGCGCTTGGGAAACAAAACCAAAATTTACCAAATTGTTTTGATATTACGATTATTTTTATTTTTAAAAGATTTTTATTTGTCAACAATATCAAGTTTCTGTCAAATAGCGGCCATTGTGATTTTTGTAGAGAGATTCTTCCACGGAATATTTTGACTTCGTAGCCATTTTGATTTAAGTTAATTTACTAAATAAATAAAGTGTTATATTTTTGTTGTAACATGCAAATTTGGGTTTTTATTTCTATCGTGAAAGTAAGAACGATTGCAAGAACTAAACATTAATTAATATTTTTCAGCAAAATTTAAATTTTTTCGTTAACGCTAAAAAGTTTTTAACCGTTTATTTCAAATTACATTACTTTATAAATTTTGTAATTTTCCTAAAATAACATTTGTAAAAATTATAATTGAATTTTACAAGATTTTTAACGGAGAAATTAACGTTTGCTTATAAAAGAGTCAATAATAGTTTTCATTTACGTTTTCATTCGGGCCACTGGTCTAAGTTAGTCATAGCCGTGATACCACCAGCACAGATATATATATATATATATAATATGTGAAAATATATAGAAAATAGGAAAAGGAACTGGTTAGGTAAATAATCCAAATTTCCCTTTAGTATTTTTAGTTATTATTTTTCTAAAATAGTGCTCGATACAAAAAGTAAAATAAAATATAATTATTTATTTAAAAATATGATTTTTTATTTATTTTTTTCATATTTTTAAATAAATAATTATATATATATATATATATATATATATATATATATATATATATATATATATATATTAAAGCTCATTGTTTATTTGAGGATTCAATTTTTCGTGAAAATGTGTGTAATTGTTGGAATTTTTCTTATTTATATAAATTCTGGGATAAAAATTAAATTAAGTATTTTCAATTTTTTGGCATAAATTTTCGATACCTAAGATTTAAAATGAATTTAAAAAAAAAAAAATTCTTGAAGATTTCATTTTAGCTTTAATTTTCTGCTAAATGGTTAAATTTAATTTCCAGTAAGTAAAATATTCTTTTCAGCATTTCAAATAAAAATTTTATAGATTAAAATCTTAAAAAACAAAAATGATTTAAAAAATTTTCTTAAAAGCGACCATTTTCTTAATTTTAAGAAATTTGTAAAATGAAACAAAGCAAATTTAATTTATCAGTTTTAAAGTTTTTTACAAAAAATAAAAATATATATTTATGACACATTATTTGAGCAAAATTAGCAAATTTAAAGCTAAAATCTGATTTGAAATAAATATTTCTTATATAATGAGCATAAAATTTTAAAAAATGTTTGACATGCTTACAAATTATTTTTAACAAATTGGTCCTGACTTTCTTTGATCCTTATTGACATATAGATAAGATCTGAGGTGATAACAGCTAGTATGGAAAACCAGAATTGATATAAATTTACCCATTTTTTTCGTTTTTAACGACAAAGTAATTTTTACAAATTAACATATTTTCAACAATTATCTAATATTTTATTGACTTAGTTACGCTTGAAGATGCTTTATAAAAAATTAAAAAAAATTTAAAGTACTATAAAATGTTCTTAAATTATTTTTAAGATTTAATAACAGATGAAATTTAAAGATATGTAAGCAAGAAAATTAACACATTGATCTGGAAATTTTTTATAATAATTAAAATATTGTTTAATCATTACTAGTTAATAAATTTTAATTAACATTAGTTAAAAAACATTTTTTTTTATTTTTTCAATCTAAGCACATGACCTTTTTATAATAATGACATGTTTAGGCTATCACAGATGAAAAAGGAAACAATTAAAGTGAAAAAATAATTTTAAAAATAGAATAATAAAATAACATTTATTAATTTTTTTTTTTTAATTTTGGATTTGTAAATTTCGTTTGCACTTAATTACAATATCACATCCAAGAAATATCCCAATACAGAATTTTAAACGATTTTTAAACAATTATAAATTATTATAATTAAAATTCATTATTCATCAAAAAAAAAAATTTTTTTAGACAATAGTGTCATGAATAAAAATTGCTTACAAAAGCAATTAAAAGATTTTCAAATTAAATAATGTTTTAGTTTACTATTCAGAGCAGATTTTCAGTTAGAATAGTGAAAGTTTGAAAAAAAAAATTAGGTAATTTACATTTTTCAAGAAGTCCTACTTTTAACTAATAAAAAAATTTCAGGAAATAGAAAGTTATTTTGTGAAATTTCATGAAATTAAGTGGGGAGTAACATATGTAAAAAAAAAAAAGAAAATTACATTTTACCAAAATTTTCTAAAACAAAAACTTTAAAATATAATTCCATTCATTTGTGAATAAGTCCTGAAACTTTCTTTACAATCTGGCAATTATTTGATTTTTTGCAAAAATTTCTGAATTAATGTGTTTTTACCAGAAAAAAGTGGCAAAAAAGTATTTTGTAATTATTACCCGGATTTAATGATGTAGACAAAACAAGATTTTGAATCAAAATTTCAAATGTGCTATAAATGGATTAAAAAAATAATCAAAAAAAACTTTGGTCTTTCCTATAAATAATAACAAACATTTTGATGATAAAACTTTGTTTTTATTAAGTTTCTGGCATTTTCATTATGCTATGCCTTTTCCCTGCAAAAAAGTGTAGGTACCTAAATTAAAGTGATTACATTTATTTTTCAAGCGAGGCACTTTGGCCTGGAGAATTTTTTTTTAACCAGTTGATCCCAAGTAAGGTGATAATGCCACTAAGACATAAGGGACTACTTGGAGTGAAAGAGAATTAAAAGAAGGAACTGGAAACCCAATTTGAAACAGTAAAAAATGGATAAACCTCTACTCCTGTTCAAAAGATTGGGTAGGAGTATGAACTGTGTTGAGTCTCAGGGTGGCTGTCATCCCATGCAATATCTTTTCCCCAGGAGCCATAGTCATTACTTGGAGCCTGAGGTGTCCTCAAAAGGAGAAGTCTCGATGTGGCTGGAATATTTTTGCTCTCTGGTCCTCACATTCCATAAATATGCAGCATTCCATTGTTCCCTTCAAAATAGCCCCCCAACACCTAGGGGTTTAAAGTGGTACTTCAGAAGCCAAAGGAGACAGTGTAGGGCACATATGTTCACAAGAGGTAGCAGGACATGATGTTCAATTCCCTGCTCCTTTTTAGACAGCTCAGCCACGAAGGACTTTTTACCCTTTTTAAGAAATACACATCTCCCGTTGGAACCTTTTGAAGCCCATATCTGCTAACTTTTTTTTTTGTATCCAAAATGTAAACAAATTTCTACGCAATTATTCTTCTTCTATGTTCCATGTCCCTTCAGGACGTGGACGATCATGGATCTCCACAACTTCCTGCCCTATGTATATTTTAGTAAGGTTTATCTTTTTTTGCTATCCCTCCTAATTGCTTTTCTGTCAACCATTTTGATAATAATACCCATGCTGAAATAAAAATACTAAAATACAAATAGAAATATAATCACTCACTATTGCTGTAGAAATCCCAGTAGACAGCCCGTAACAAGCTGTGGTCAACATGGGGTGTTTGAAATGTAAGGACAACTGGATCTGATAAATTTGTTATTGAATAACCTGAAAAAGAGAAGAGGATAAATTTGATGAATGCTATTTTGTGCAATTACCAAACAAAACTAATGATGGTTTAATATCAAAGTCACAAGTTGACTGGAGAGTATAATACAAGAATTTTGTTTGAACATGAAAGTTAAACCATGTCAAATTAGGTTAGTACTTAAATCGATAACTATTTTGCAACACCAGCTACAGTAAGCAGTTGATGGGTTTATGCTAGATTAAGAAAAACATGAAAGATGAACAATAGTAATAATGAAAAAGCAACAATAATAAGATGGAATAAAACTAGTAATAAAATAATAGGAATAATGAAGAGTGTATTGAGCTAGTGTGTTGGGATAAAAAGCAACAATAATAAAATAGTGAAAAAGGAAACCATGTTACTTTTTGTATGCAACTAGTTTCATGTCACAAATTCAAATAAAGAAAAAAATTAAACAACATAGTCTATTTGATGGAATATTATATGCACCTCCCCATTTCAGATATACTAAAAACATTTTTAGAGTATTTAAGCATATAATATTCAAAGTAACCTATCAAAATGTTACAAATGCAACAATGTAGTTTGAGTAAGGAATATTATTATGTTATTACGGATTTAGGCTAGACAGAGGTAACTGAGAGAAAATTGATCAGCTGCAGGGGTTCCCAAACTTTTTTTTTCTCCCTAGTCTGCATTTTTGGAATGAAAATTTGCTCGTGCCTCACCAAAGGGAAGTCCTGGTGAAAAGGTGCAAGCAGCTCTACAGCAAAGAAGATCCAGAGAGAGGGTTAAAGGAAAATAATTGCGGATTCAAAGTCAGAACATTATTATTGATAACTCTCTCCTCCAATTTGCAGACCCTAGTTACTATATTCTTAATACTTGATATAATGCAAAAATATGACAATGATAAAATCGGTTAATAATTATTTATAACTATTTATACTGAGACTTATGTATGCAATTACGAGTAATCTGCAACAATATTTGAAATTTTGAAATCATATTTATTTTTGGCATATGAATTTTTTGAAACTGTTTCTAAATCTTTGATTGTCTATCAATCATTCCATTTCACCTGCTTTCCTCTTCCACATATGAGGCATACCACTGTGTCTGGACACTACTGGTCTATCGGATGCCTTATAAAGATGCAAAGTGAAATTTTAAGACATTTAATAAAAGAAACCAATACCAGAATCCACATCACCTGATGACTACCAACAGCAGTAACAATTAAAATGGACAGCACATGTAACTCAAAGAGAAAATAATGGCATAATTAAGATGTTGACATTCCACACTACCTTAAACAAAAGGTTAGAAAGGAAACCTCCATCAATACTGGAAAGATGGATAGCAGTAAAGTTGAGGAATCTGTTTTTCTAAAGAAAGTGTTTTCATAGATTTTTATAAATTTCAAACTTTCAGTGGTTCCTTATAAGGTAATGACTTATATTACCGTTACCATTATATTATAAAAGTTTTGGCTTCAATCCATAATTTAATTAGTATCAAAGACTTACCGACACTGCCTGATATAACCTTGGAGATGACCTTCCATTTATAAAAAAAAGATTAGCATCAGAGAGATGAATTATGGGAAATGCGGATGGAGACATGTAAACAGCAAACTGGAGGCCAATTGTGCTGGTTTTGCTGAGACGAAGGTCAGAATTGTGAAACAGGGTTTTAGGAAGGTAGATAGACGTTATGACATCCTGTGGGAATCAATGAAAAATAGTGTTAGACACAGAAAAATATAGATATTAAGAACACACACACACATTTTTTTACAGACACATATATATATATATATTATAATAAAAATATAGAAGTGAATGGAAGCATTGCTGGAGAGTCTGTCAACTAAACTCTGAGTTGAGATGCTGAATGTAACATTAATCAGCTAAGTGACAAATTTTATATTTGAATTAATTATATGCAAAATGAGTATATATATATATATATATATATATATATATATATATATATATATATATACACACACACACACATATGCAATTTTATATATATTATTTATATATTATATATGCATGGTACTTATTGAAAAAAATCTGGAATCAGTGATAGAGCTAACATATTTAGTTGGACTTCATAATCCAACTATATATATATATATATATATATATATATATATATATAAATATCCCCAGAGGAGTGAGCGATTGCTGGAGGGTCTGTCTACGAAACTCTAGAGTTGGGATGCTGAACATAACAATCAGCTAAATGACAAATTTTATATTTTAATTAATTATATTAAAATGAGTGTATATATATATATATATATAATATATATATATATAGTTTGTTTATGCAAACCTAGGTAATCCGTATGAGTAGACCCAAATAGGATGATATCCGGAGAGCTCAATGTAAATTCAGAGCAAATATGTTTGAATAAAAACAGACCACTTTAAGGTTCTCTGTAAAAAAGAAAAAATGTAACAGCCCTTTTAAAGGGCTCTGGAAAATCAGACTTTATCTCCAAAGTGTTCTTGAAATGAAAAATAAATAAAAAATATATATATTTTATGCATATATATATATATATATATATATATATATATATATATATTTGCATATATATATATATTATTTATATATTATATATATGTGGTAAAATTGGAAGGCTCAATATCATGATAGAGCTAATGGTATTTAATTGGACTTACATCAATCCAGATATATATATATATGTATATATATATATATATATATATATTTACAATAGTGCTGTTTGTAATAATACAGTGCTCAATGTTATACCACAGAGCTTTTAAATATATATTAATAAATATTCTTATTATTCCTCACCAGAAGCATGAATCAGAGTTTCATGCATGATGCAATATACAGGGTGACTAAAACGGAACTCCAACGACAACTATTTATAATTTTTACAAGGTGAGTGAGTCCATCATACATAAAATAAAATTATACTTTTCAATTTTTACATGTGTGTGGGTCTATATATATATATATATATATATATATATATATATATATATATATATATATATATATGTAAAAAATATATAGAAAATAGGAAGGAACTGGTTAGGTAAATAATCCAAAGTCCCTTAGTATTTTAGTTATTATTTTTTTTAAAATAGTGCTCGATACAAAAGTAGTTTTTAGCATAAATAATTTATTTATTTAAAAAACATATGAAATCCAAAAAAATGTGACATTAGTCCCATGTTTTTAAACATTCCCAAATTTCAATATAAAATTTATTTTGGAATTAAAAAAAAATTTAAAATTTGATGGAAATTTTATTATTTTAAATTCAATTTTTAAAATTATATTTGAAGTTTTCAAATTTTTTTGAAAACATGGGACTTCTTATGTCAATTTGGAATCATATTTTTAAATAAATAATTATATATATATATATATATATATATATATATATATATACATACACACACACATAAGATTCATTAAATGAAATTTAATTTAGGACCCATTTAAACACACATGGAAACCTATTAAACTCCATCTGCAACAAACTTGTAGAAAATACAATTATAATACTCTCATTTACATGTAACAAAAAAAAAGGCTAAAAATAATGGAAATATTAATAATAAAAAAGAACAAAAACCAACACTCAATAATATCAACTATGAACACTGCCATGACCTGCTAACCATGTTTGGGGAAAAAAAAATCACTATAGATACATATATATAAAATTTACATATTCATTTAAAGATAAAAAAAATATCTTTGATAATAATGAAAAGAAGAGCTTGGACATACATTTGGTCAATTTTTGCACACTTCATGTCCAGAAAAGAAATCACTTATATGAACACAAGAAAAATTGAATAAAAAATTTAACCATAGTACCTTGCCAGTTGTCTTTAGTGAAACTTATATAAAAGAACGACTGTTGCACAAATAGATGATTTTAATGACATTTCTGGATCCAAAGAATCTTTTGAACCAAGACCTAAAATCATGAGTCCTTGCATGCATACTAAAAATTCCTCACATATGAGGCTGGATGAAAAAAAAGAAAAGAAAATGTACATTTCAATTAACCCTACCACCGATACATTTTCTTGCTTTTCTTCTCTTTCCTTCTTCACATCCTACCCCTCATCCTCTCTTTCTATCACACCCAACATCATGTGTTTGTATATTATAATAATATAGTGTTCATTTGTTTTTTAAAAAATAAAGTGTTGGGAGATCAATTGACTAAAATCACATGAAGATACCATAAGGTTGAAACCAAGGCAGTGGATTCAACTGAATTTCAAATTATAAAAGTATGTATGTGTATATATATATATATATATTTTGAATAATAAAAATATATTAAAAAATTAAAATCTTCAGACACACTGGGTTGTAGATTAATATTCTTTTTTTTTTTATTATTATTTCATTTAGATTCCTCGACTAGTTTTTCTTGAAAATGGCCATCATCGGAAAGAAATATTTCTAAATGCTGGTAGCAAAAACTACAGAAAAAATCTGAATATATATATATATATATATATATATATATAAGGAGACATCACACATATATATATATATATAAAAGGAACATATATATATATATATATAATAGATATATATATATATATATATATATATATATATATATATATATATATATTAAAGGCAATAGATTGAAGAATCTGAGAGCTGAATTCAAATTCAAATTGAATCCATTATATTCAGTTACATGCTAATATCCTTGGGAAAGGTATTAATCCTCTTATTCTCCCCCAGCTATGGGTAATTAGCAGGACAGGCTGTGTTCTATAGCCTTGGATGGCAATTGGTCTACCACAGAAAGAAATGGCAACCTACTGTGGGAAAAATCTGCCTCGTCAGTCATGTATCAAAAGATACATGATCGCCTAAGTGTGTATCATGTATGGCACATAACTGACATATATGTAAATTTCATTAAGAATGATTGTGGCTTAAGTTTTTTATTTAATTTTTCTTATGCCCTTATAATTTTCTTCTTTTCTTGACATAAATTATGTAGAAATTTTCCGAATGTTTGCACAGTGTGAATAAAAAAAGAAAAAAAAGAGAGAAAAAAATGAGTAAAAAAGAAAAAAAAGAGAAAAAAAAACAAAAAAAAAGATAAATAGGAAAAAAAGCTAAGAAAAAAAATTGAATAAAGCAGAAATAGTGAAAAAAGTAAAAAAAAAAAAGAAAGAAAAGATAAAAGAAGAAAAAAAAGAAAAAAATATGTGAAAAAAGAGAGGAAAAAGTCAACAAAAAAGAGAAAAAAGAGAAAGAAAAGATAAAAAAAGAAAAGAAAGAAAAAATATGTGAAAAAAGAAAGGCAAAAGTCAAAAAAGAAAAGAGAAAAAAGAGAAAAAAAGAAAAAAAAGAAAAAATATGTGAAAAAAGAGAGGAAAAAGTGAAAAATATGTGAAAAAAGAGAGGAAAAGTGAAAAGAGAAAAAAGAGAAAGAAAAGATAAAAGAAGAAAAAAAAATGTGAAAAAAGAGAGGAAAAAGTCAAAAAAGAAAAGAGAAAAAAGAGAAAGAAAAGATAAAAGAAGAAAAAAAAAAAAGCAAAAAATATGTGAAAAAAGAGAGGAAAAAGTCAAAGAGAAAAAAAGAGGAACAAAACAAGAAAAAGTGTAAAAAGTGAGGAAAAAAATAAAAAGAAACTTACCCTTTTTGTGACTTCCAGGTAAGAAGGAAGACTAATGCTCGAACTACATCTGAAGTGGATATTGCTGTGTATTCCAAGGTTGCTTGTCAAGCCCTGAAGGTAGCATGACATTCCTTTATAGTTTCCTATTGTCACATTGTAACCCTCAGTGTAAATATTGTTGGTATCGCCAGTCCAATGATTATTACTCAATAAAATATGTTTAGATATCACTTCAATACTTTTAATAATTCTGTAAAGTGAAACAGACAAAAATTAAAAAAAGAAATAAACAATTTTCAAAATGATTCTTTGAAGTAATTAAAATTAAATGTATTCATAAATAGCCTTGTCAAGTTTAGACTCACACATACACAAACACACACATATATATATATTGTTATGGAGTGGTTTCACAGTGGAGGCTTGTATTTGTACTAAGTCGGTCCTAAAATAGGTTCGACGTACAAAACGTTAGGAACTTCATATAATAGGTATGATGCAGAGTAAATCTAGTTGTGTCCGCTGATACTTTATTATCCAACTAACGGTCGTCTGGCATCGACTGACTGACTAACTCACTGAGCGACTTGTTACTCTTACTACTCCTACTTATTATAGGTGGGAGAGTCTATTAACTATAGAATAGGTGTGTTCCACTATAACATATATATGTGTGTGTGCATGAGAAATAAATAAACAGCCTTGTCAAGTTTAGACACGCATATGGTAATGGTAATATTCGTTGTTTCCCTACAGTGCATTCATTGTCCAAGAAGCCAGAATTGAATTTGGTTGAAGTTTATAAAATTTTTCTCTTAAAACAATTTTACAGGAAAATAGGTTTTTCAAGCCCAGTAGCTATTATAGCTCTTTCCAGTATTAATGGTAGCTTCCTACCTAATGTTTTGTTTGAACTAGTGTGGAATGTCAGCATTATGACTACCATGTATTCACTTGTGAAAGCAGAATAACATACATTTTTATTACTTTAAAGCTTCCTAGAAAATTAAATTTTAGTGCTAAATAACCTATAGAGGATTTAATGTGCAGTTAAACAAATCAAATCCACCAAGAAAATAAATTTCTCAAGTCAAAGTTCTTTCTCGTATTGATGGGAGTTCCTGTTGGGTGTCCCTAAGGAAATCGAATGGACGTGCCCAAGAGTTACTTAAAGGAAAGTAAGGACAACTCATAGCCAATTATACAAGCAGAGTCATTGATTGTACTAATGGCGAAACAAAGTGTTTGTAGTATTGAAGTCCCATTATCATTCTTGATAGTATCATATCAATCTTTATTACAGTTTCCTTTCTAACCTTTTGTTTAAAGCTGTGTGGAAAGTCAACATCTTGATGATATTATTTTCCCCTTCTAATTTCATTTGCTATCCATTTTAGTTGTTGCAGATACTTATCTTTTGTGCATATACATGTTTGTGGGGAGGGGGGCATGATTACTAGAGACAGTGATATGTTTATGTTGTAGTTTTGTTCAAGTTATATTTTGGAATACAGTTTGAATTCTTTAAGAAATTGTAGGATATTATATGGATTAGTGCCATGAAAGAATTCTTTCATGTTGGTTGTTTGGAAGCATACCAACCTCTACAGGTTATTTAATGCCAAAATCTCTATATTTGGAATGAAATTGCATGCCTTCAACTACAGGTAAAATGTACTGTTGGCCATTTTGTTATAAAATGTATTGCTACTCATTTTAGGTGTGTTTCATGTTGTAGTTTTGTTGAACTTATATTTTAGAATACATTTTGAGTTCTTTAAGAAACTGTAGAATCTTATGTCATAAAAGAATTCTTTTATATTGGTTGTTTGATTTTGTTTAGTGGCATATCAACCGCTACAGATAAAATGTATTGTTAGTCATTATGTTTTAATTATGTATTATTGACTACTTTTTTTTTTATTTAAAAATCTATTACTGGTATTTTTTTATACTTTCATAGTGTTTTGAGTTTTGTTTGGGGGTTCCCTATTTGCCCATAGCTGGGACCCTAACAGGTGCTACCACACCAGGTCAGAGTGGACCTGGAAACAACAGCAATTAACAGATGGTTCCACACACCTCAAAACCTCTTGATCAGAGGCCTTGCTGCCGGATGTAGTTTACCCAGGACTATATTTTCTTGAAAAACCTTTTTAAGAGAAAGATTTTGTAAATTTCAATTGATGCTAACACTTTTTGGTCAATGAATGCTGAATTTTTCTGTATGGAAACGGCTATTCTCACCATTATGCATCATATTAGTGTCTCATTTACTCTCAAATTAATATTAAGTTTAACGTTATCAAATATGTTAGGTCATAAAGTATTGCCAACTTTATCTGGATTTCATCCTGATATAAGGTTCATTTTAACAACACTCCTAAATTTTCCAAGATAAAAATAATTGTCGTTTTGAAACCGTTTTTTTTTTGTAGGCAGAAAGATATTTAAAAAATTTTGTCAAAGATATTTTAAAATTTCATTCAACTGTTCAGGCAAATATTTACTGTTGTTGCTTTTGACGGTGTTGTGGAGTTATTTCACAGTGGAGGATTGTATTTGTACTGAGTCAGTCCTAAAATAGGTTCGACGTACAAAATGTTAGGAACTTGATATAATAGGTATAACGCACTGTAATCTGGTTGTGGTCACTGATACTTTCGTATTCGACTAACTGTCTTCTGACATCGACTGACTGACTGACCGACCTTCGTATCTATTACTACTCCTACTTATATTAGGTGGGAGAGTCTATTAACTATAGAATAGGTGTGTTTCACCATAACAGACAGAAAGATATATCCTAAAAAAAAAAAAAATACAGTTTGATGATTTTTACATTACTAGAATTATGTCTGTTGAAATCCTTACAGTATTTAGTATTGTTTAAGTTATCGCTAACATTTATTTGTCAAGATTTACAAACTCTACATTCCATTCAATTTCACAAACCAATTAATGAAATTTGTATAAACTGATTTGTTTGGAAATTATTTTGACAAAAACCCTACTTCACAGTTTAATAATTTCTTTAATTTAATATTATAGGAGTTTATGGCAAACAATATTTTTTAAGAAAATTTCTTTTTTTCCTTTTTAACAGTGAAGAATAAATTCTTAGGATTTCTTACTCTTGAGTGTGCAACATACAACTGGCCATGTATAAATATTTTTTTCTGGAGCCAAATTCTAACTTTTTGAATCATTTGGCCTTGTGATTTGTTTATACTTTTGACAAATGCAGGGCAAACAGGAAATTGGATTCTTGTATATAAAAACTTAAAAGATGTGCAAAAAACAATATTGCATTTTTAATAAATAAGTATTTATTTTAATCATTAAATAGTTTTTAAAATAGTGCGAGTATTAACTATTAAATTTTAATTTTTCCAAAAAATTAAAGAAAATTTATTGTACAAAGCTACACCCACTAGTAAAACTAACTGTATTTTGTACCTCCTTACCTGTTTGCACTTCTTCCCAAAATTTGGTTTTGATTGGTCAATGTATTTCTATTTTAGAGGGTGTGATGGATGAAAGTCAAAGAATTTTATATGTAGATAGATACGATCAATTAAATTAATCTTATCTGATTTACCTCCCTTGAATATTTATTTATCGCAGCGTTGGCCAGTCTTGCTATCACAGCAAATATTCTTTTCTATCTCCTTCCCATAATCAGGGCCAGTGCATACTATTTGTAAACCCGCAGACGTCAAGTCTGATTGGGGGCCTCAGGCAATGTTTTGTGACTCTTGCTATCTAATCAACATTTGCTTTTTTCTACCTACATTTATATAGATTTCAAATTAAACTAAACACAACTGACTTATTAAAGGATTAAACATTTTTGTGGATTTTGACATCATTCTGGGATTTTTTTTTGTCTAAATCTGTCAATTAGTTTTGCTCATGCTAAGTCTTGAAAATACATTATATCACTATTTTTTTATTCATAATATTCAATATGTTTAAAATTATTAACGTTGATGTTAAAAATTACCACAAAACATTGTTGATTTATTTACAATGGAAGGATCTATTATATGTCTCTAATTTGTATTTAGATACAGTGTATCCTTTTTTCAATTTTTCTATTTAAATTGTTTAACTATATTGTATTTGATTAATTATTGTACATAATTTATCATGGCTTAGGCTCAATGGCATAGCATTGCAGTACTTCCTCCTCTGCCTCTTATCCCTGAGAGCGGACCTGCAGGTATTTTCAAAGATGGAGACAGCATGATTGGTAGATCTCCTACTAATTTTAAATTAAAGTATTGCTCATATGTTGATGTTTTAATGTTGGAAATATACTTCTGCCATTGTGGATAATATTGGGTTTTGTCATTTTTGGTGATCCATATTTTAACTATTTTATAAGATGCTTCTAAATCTAGACAGGCTTTCATAACGTGAATAATGAAAATTGGCTCAGTAACTACTTGACCATTAGACTGAATTGACAGGTAACTGTAAGACCATTTTAACTTTTTTCTGTTATATTTAAAAGGAGTCTGATGAAATACTTATCAGATAAAATTTAATTCATAAAATATCCCATAACCTTAATAGTTTTAATGAAAATTAATTTACTAATAGTACAACAATCCAATTTGAACTTGAGCTTTTATCTAATGTAGACAAAGCTATAGCAGCTACATTGGAAAACTGAACTGCTATGTATCTCCTCATAGGTTTTAGGATATATCATCATCATCATCATCATCATCATCATGGCTTGGTTTTGCAAAACGAAGATCATGAGGGAGTCTGTACACATCGCTTGCAGGCATGTTTGTGACTGATAAGTCCAATGAGGGACAGGCATACTGAGTCGCAGTAGTTGCAGCTAAAAGTCTGGCCTGGGCTCAATGGCATAGCATTGCAGTACTTCATCCTCTGTCTCTTGTTCGTGAGAGCGTCCCTGCAGGTATTTTCAAAGAAGGAGACAATATGGTTGGTGGTGAGATGCCAGGCATCACGGTTCTCAGCTAGGGTTAACCCTTGGCAATGGTTAATGTAACAGGCAACAAAGGATTTTTTTAGGCAATCTTTGAATTGCTTTATTGGTGCCCCTCTGCCACAATAGGCAGTAGAGAGCTCGCCATACAATAAAATTTTAGGCAGGCGATAATTCTCCATCCTGGAAACATGATCAGCACAGCATGGCCTCAATGCTGATCTTCACCTTTTCAAGAACTTCAATATTGGAGACGAAGTCACTTCAGAATATATGTGTGT